AAACAACCCTGTACGAGTTTGCTTAAATACCGTATGTTCTGCCACGTAAACTTTGATTTTTACATTGAAATCCCAGAGGCATTAATTCCCATTCACAAAAGCCTCTTCTCGGAAACGGAACAGGGATGGGATGTCAGGGCAGGAACTTCTGGATTCCATTTCTGATCCTATCGTTGATTCACTGTGTGGCATTTGGAAACTTATATAAACTGTTTCCTCAAAAAGGAATTCATATCTGCCTCAGATAAAACCCTGAAGACTATTTAATATTTACAAAACATGTGGACCATACAAAAGCTCTATGTCAGATGCAGCAAACAAAACTCCCTTCTTTTATCCCCTTAGTTATCATGTCAAGATCAATGTGAAAGTTTAGTAGATCTTAGCACACTTCTTGTATGTATAAAGGACATTCCAAGGGAAGATATGAAAATGTGTAAAGTTGTGTACAAAACATGTTATGACCCACTGCAGGAGCAGCTGCACAGCCTTTCAGACCGCAGGAAATGCAAGGAGGATTCTGGTTTTGAACTAATACAATTCTTCTGAAGCTGGAAACAGAGACCATATTTCAACAGCAAATTAGTGTCCAGACTGAAAAGTCATGGGTGGTTTACAGTGAACCTGCAAGTTGTTGGCACCTCTGCATTGGAAAAACACAGGGAGTTTCATATTAATACAGAGAAATGACATCATATCTCACCATTATTATAAATCACTGTATGGTTATTAATTTAGGAAGCTTTTTTTAATCTCCTTAAATATTTAACTCTCCATTTCCTCTCATAAGAAAAATATGCACACAGACTTAATATCAACAATATAATTCCAATTTCATATAAAAATTTGTTTTTTACAATTTTTTTTTACTTCACCACAGTCAGTGCGTATTTCCGTACTGGGTGGTGTGATGTAATCCCATCTTACCCAGCATATTTGATGACTCAATCATGCTTGTGTCTAAGTCAGTCCAATATAACCTTTGGTCTGCATAATCAATAGTGAGGTCATTGGCACGACCCACTTTATCCACCAAGGTAATGCTGTTTGTGCCATCCATATACGCGCGAACAATCCTCGGTTTACCTCCCCATTCGGTCCAGTACATGTATCTGCAATGAGAAGTGGAACAAAAAGAGAACATCAGCGAGGTAAGATTGTGTTCAGCTGCGTGCTTTGATTTTTCAGTTCTTTAAAAAAGCCCCAGAATAACCCATGTGGTTACGTGTAATATTACCATACTCCTTTCTTTAGACAAAGGCAGAAAAAGATGATTAAGAATTCTTCATTTTTCATTGTAACCCACAGGCTTGTGGAGCGTTTATCATCTTTTCAAAGACCCTGAAGAAACTGAGCTACATAAACTGCCAACTACAGAATCACAGAATGGTTTGGGTTGGAAGGGACCTTATAAAGATCATCCAGTCCCAACCCCACTGCCAGCAGCAGGGACACCTTCCACTAGACCAGGTTGCTCAAAGCCAAAAAAAAAGGCCAAGAACCCTCCCGGGGAGGACCAGCCACAGCTTCTCTGGCCAGCCTGGGACACTGTCTCACCACCCTCACAGTGAAGAACTTCTTCCTAATATCTAATCTAAACCTCCCCTCTTTCAGCTTAAACCCATTTCCCCTTGTTCTGTCATTAACTGCCCTTATGAAAAGTCCTTCCCCAGCTTTCTTGTAGGTCCCTTCAGGTATTGGAAGGCCACTACAAGGTCTCCCTGGAACCTTCTCTTCTCCAGGCTGAACAGCCCCAACTCTCTCAGCCTGTCCTCATAGGAGAGGTGCTCCAGCCCTCAGATCATCCTGGTGGCCTCCTCTGGAGTTTTTCTAGCTGCTCCAGGTCTCTCTTGTGATGGGGGCTCCAGAACTGGACACAGTACTCCAGGTGGGGCCTTACAAGAGCGGAGTAGAGGGGGAGAATCACCTCCCTCAACCTGCTGGCCACGCTGCTCTGGATGCAGCCCAGGATACAGTTATTGGCTTTCTGGGCTGCAAGTGCACATTGCCAGCTCATGTTCAGCTTCTTAATTTAACATACAGCTACTCCAAGTAGTTTCAATTAACCTCTCACATACAAGAACATGCAGACAAAGCTTTGGAAACCACCACTGGTCCTTACCCTTTGGTAGGATCAAGAGCCAGAGACCTTGGGTTGTCCAAGTCCTTCCACACAAGGACCTGCCTATACTGTCCATCCAGGCGGGCTACTTCAATGCGGTTGGTGCCAGTATCTGCCCAGTAGAGGTTCTTTCCCATCCAGTCTACAGCCATTCCCTCGGGATAATCCAGCCCAAACTCAATCACGTGTTCGACAGAGCTCCCATTCATGAAAGCTCGGCTTATGGTCTGGAAAACAATTGTGTAAAAATATTACAGCGTTTGTAATACAGACACCCACTGAAATAAAAAGGAATCACTGTTATGAAGTTTAGCGTACAAAAAGAAATAAATAAAAAAATCAGTGTTACACTGTAAAAAATAAATTTATGTTGTCAAAAAAGAGGTGGCAATTCATAGGATAAAAATACCTGAATTTTCAGAAAGCTAGTGGTTTCTGATGACCAGTGTAAGACGTCTTAAAAGGATATGATTTTTAGAAAGCACTATGTATCTGCAGACTCTTCCTTGCCCCTTTTCCCTCTCTTCTATTTGCACACTTTAATTATTTAATTTGCTGTGTTTTTAGTCTTGGAAACATATCCCAGTTCAGGGAAACCTGAATTAAATTGTTTCTCGTGATCAGTCACCTGGAGCACGTTTGCTGATCCCACCTACATTTTAGTTCCGCACACTCAGCAAAACAAGCCACAGGGCAAAGGACTGTGTACGTATAAATAAGCCACTCCTAAGAAGGAGCACCAAAACAACCCGGGGTAAATCACGGGTAACTTCCGGGACCAAGGTACAATTACCCACCCTTGTCATCAACACCGAGCAATCAGTCTACATCTCTGCTAATATTTCAGCTATTAATTTTGTAATAATTTGATAAATGAATGTATCAGGGTAAGAGACATTTGATATTTTCAAAGGTAAATGTCAAAATCAGAAATAATGTAGTATATTCTTACAGGTATCACCCACATCTCAGAAGAAGTATAATCCCTTTCTGAAAACAAGTCATCATATAACCATAGGCAGGAGGAGATCAGGGAAGTGATGGTCATCCAAGGAAAGGGAGGTGACTACAGGCTCTGAAGGGACATGACCTGCTACTAAGCTGCAGGAGGTGGAGGGGTGGGGGGAAGGAAAACCCAGTTGTGCCAAAACACACTGAGCTGTACATGAAAATACAGCACATGCTGGATAATTCAGGAGGACACAAAAGTGGAGTATTTTCCAGTTCTGCTTAGAACGAGACTGGGACCTACACACTGACGCAGCGGAAGGAATGCATTTTCCACTACAAATGGTTAAGATGACCATAGCTCCAGCTCTCCACATGCTTCTGTGAGATTTATTTAGTAACTGTGTCTACAGGACGCTAATTTATGACACTGGCACTGCTCCTGAAGGAAAGGTATCCACACCACCAGCAGCAGTGCTCATGCTGAAGCCCAACCCTCATTAGTCTTCAGAGGAGGCTTTGGAAGCTGTCCATGCCCCCAGAGTCACTAAGGGACCTTTTCTCTAGGATGGCTTAGACACATTGGCAAGGAAACTTTGACTGCTCTTGGAAAAACTCTTAAGAACCTAAAGAGAGGAACCCAATTCCAGTGAAATGAATCTGTCATTTTCTACCATTTCTTAATTCACTTCAAAAAGCAAAGTGATGCTGATGAACAGCACAACGCTCACTTTAGCAAGCACCTGGATGTCAACCAAATGCGCCACAGGAAATGCCAACCTCCTGGAGAACATACGGAGAACTGGGGGCAGGCAGTGTGGAGGGGACTGGACAAGTTCCCTGGCCTTTTCTGTGCCAGGTTGGAGCCACAGACCAGCAAGCAATCCATAGTTCACTTGCCAAATGTTAATACTGAGTGAAGATTGCCTTCCCCGTCAAAACTGGAAGAGGACAGAAAGCTTAGGGGGTTGCCAAGCTGGATGTTTAAATTGCTATGTGACATGAAAAGAGCTTTTCTACAATCAGTACATATATGGATGCAGCACAGGCAGCATCCCAGACTCAGGCGTTCGGTATGAGCAGCCACCACTTTGGATTTTTATTTTGAAGGAGGAAGATGCCTGTCACCCAACTGTGCATTCAACAATGCAACTGTCTTCATCTCCAAGAGTCTCCTTGGATGCAATTCAACGACAACATTAGCAACTGCAGGACAGATCATGTAACAGAGACCTTTGTTAGATCAAAGAAACTACTCTGTGGCTTTATATTCAGGGAATTCACACGTCAGTAATACCTTCAAACTAACATCAGTCCAATAGATTCTGTTATCAGAGACATCAAAATCCAGAGCAGATGCTTCCTTGACTCCAGTGAGAGGAATAGCAACATCATTATTATTAGTTTCAAGGGAAATCCTATGAATTGCTGCTCTGCTTGTGAAAACTAAGAAGGCTTCAGGAATGATGCAAGTCTTCATGTCACTCAGCAGCTCAAGGCCAATGGGACAGGCACACCTGGTCTCCTGGGGCGTAAAGAAACACAGATGGCTGCAGCCTCCGTTGTTCTCTGCACATGAATTATTTCCTTAAAACAAACAAAAAAATAAAATAAAATTTCAAAAAACCTGATATTGGTTCATTGTGGAAGTAGGGGGAAAAGGGAAAGGGGAGAGGCTGAGCGGAAACACAGTGTAACTAGAATTATTCAGAATAAGCTAACACTATGGGCTGTCAACAGGGAATTCTAAAAAAAAACATTCAAAACTGTTTCTTTCCTCCTACCCAAGGATCAGGAAGCTGCTCCTATCCCTCCTACAGTACAAATAACAGCTACCAACATATCCTTCTAGTTCCCCAAAGATTAGATTCCTTCACTGAACACAAGGAATGACATACATGTTCAGCTTGGTTATTTTTGGCCAAGTACCCCATCTTTGTAACTCTTTGAAACCAACAGTTTTACAAATGTTCAATGACACGAAACAGCAAGAAGAGACAGACAACTGCAGTTCTTCCCAGCTGTTTCATTTAAAGCTGAGAAGATTCACTAGCAGAAGCAGTTCTACCAAGATCACCACAATCTCATACTTATTTTTTTGCGTGAACAATCATGACTAGATGGGGAGAGAATGAGGAGGGACAAATAAGGACCAAAAGATAAATGAATGCCTTCTCCATCTGCTGGAACCAAGGATTTAGGTATTTAAAGACAGTTACCACAAAAAAAAAAGAATCTCCAAGATCAGTCACAATTTGGTTTCTTTTAATTTTTTCTTTTTAGGGCAAATGTTTTTCAGTCTGATGCCTGAACTTCCAGCTTAAGGACCTGATGATCCTTCAAGTACAACTTCTTGAGAGGCTGGAAATCCATGTACTGGCAGGGTGTAATCTGAAAACCTACTTTACTTGATTCTGTTGCAGCTCTTCTCAGTAATTTTAATACTTGACCAACGAATCCATTTACTGCTACACACAGACTCTAATGTTCTGGGTAGCAGACAGATCTGTGGTCAACATGCATCTCATGAGTTACTGCTGAAGGCACGATGTCCTGTGATGTAATGCTAGCAGAGGACCTAAACCACTGGCTGCACCTTTCAGCAGATGCAGTGGAAGAACACAGAGCTTCAGCTGCTGGTCCCACGCTAAGGTCAAGATTTATTTGTTAAGATTTAAGTAGGATTTAGGTGTTAAAATTAATTCAGTGCCACGTGCTTTAAGGCTATGTTGTCAAGGCCACTAACTCTGCTTCTACCACCTGACATGGTAAAAAGCATTCTGCTAACTGAACATCAGTGGGACTTTGTACTGGAAGGAAAGGGAGGTTTATATTGGATGTCAGGAAAAAAAATTCTTTCCTGAAAGGGTTGTCAGGCATTGGTACAGGCTGTCCAGGGAAGCGGTTGAGTCATCATCCCTGGAGGTATCCAAAAAACATGCAGACATGGCAATTCAGGACATGGTTTAGTGGGCATGGTGGTGTTGGGTTGATGGTTGGACTTGATGATCTTAGAGGTATTTTCCAACCTTAATGATGCTGTGACTCTACAAAAGGAGTAACAGAAAATGGAGCAATTCTGTGAGCACCAGAAGTAATGATTACTATAGACTGGAGGCAGGAATAAAATTTTCCTCATAAAAACCCAAAGAGCGCAGTGTAAGCTGTTGGAAGACTTACGTCAAATGTCACAACTAACTGAAAGCCCAGTTCTTTTGCAACACTGTATTTTCCCAATTTTACAAACAAACTTTTGCTTTAAAATGATTCAAACATATGACACCACCATTACTCTCACTACAAGCAATCGACAGTTACTTAATGAAAGCAAGCCCATCTAGAAACTCCTGCAGATCCGTCCTAGGATTGCTCACACTTACCAAACGCTTTGGTAACACTGGTTGCTTTAAGGCCCATCAAATCTGGCAGCTGATCAATGATGATGTCTCTGCTCGCCTTTATCTTGTGAACTCTTTCAATGCTTCGTCTCTGCCAGTCAGTCCAGTAGATGTAATCTCCCAGGAGCGTGAACCCGAATATATGTGGAAGCTTATCTTCTAGGAGAGTTTTCCTCATTGTTCCATCAACATTTATGACCTGTGGGATGCACGAGAAAAAAGGGAAAAATAATCTCTTAATGTGGGTACAATTAAAATGGCAGTATCAATCATATTTTGACAATTCCTCTATTTTTATGCAAGAACCTCCTGAAATCCACAGCGTGCTTCTTTCAAAAGAACATACCTCTGGGTTTGTTGAAAGAGAAATATATTGGAATGACAAGACTGGAAGTGGATTATCTCACCCTTTCTCCAATGAAAAACCTAAGCAACATGAATTTAACGTGCATCGGATCAAACCTGCAAAGACCATCACAAAGGGAGAGGGTTTTGGGATGGGAGTGGGTTTTGGGATAGGAATAAGGATCAGGAGATTTTTAATCTCCATTCATGTCTTGGTCTTACTACTGAACTCTCTGTCCAACAACAAGGGATTTCTGGAGTGACCTCTGGCACTCCATCACGGGAACAGAGGGCACCAGAATTCTTTCAGAGGACAACACAGCCATATTGAATCTGCACTTTCTGAAATTTTTGGTTCTTTACCATAAAAGAACTAACTTCGTCTCACTCGTCTGATCAGATCTTTAAGATGTGGAATAAGTATTAATTTATATAAATTTATATTCCTAAAACTGCAGAGAAAGCAAAACGGTGTTGGGAGATGAGATAAACCCCATAGATATATTTATATATGCTCTTGGTTAATTATTTCATAATCAGTTAGTACAATGATCTTGTGCTACCCCCCTTTGCTTGGCATAAGGTAAGAGATTCACAGAACCTGACCCTGGTCAATAATCATCAGGCAAAATAGAAAATTAAAATGTCCACAAACAATTCCCCATACTAGATTCCTAAAGTCACCGCCAGCCACTACACAAACTGCAAAAACCTTTGCAATCATCCAGACATCTCTTACCCATGGCAAAGAGTGGATATGTATAAGACCTAGGCAAAATATTTATCTTAAAACTATTTTAAAATTAAATTTATTTATTTAAATTAATATTTAAATTTAGTCCAATATTTAAATTTATTTTAAGAAATAAATTATTAAAATTTCTTAAAATAAATTATTACAATTATAGATTATTTCAATATTTAAATTTATTCAAAAATATTTTTAAGGTGAGACTTGAAAATTTAGACCGTGAGCAGCATCAAGCTCAGTATCACATTAGAACCAAAACAACAGACCACAGCTTAAGACAATTTATGTTCCAGTGTGATTCAATCAGATTGAATCAATTTGTTGCTAGAAATGCTTCACAGGTAGACAACTGCTGTGCTTTCATTTAGACTACCATGGCTTGTGACTGAGGTTTTAAATAGTCTCCTCTACTATTTTGTGGAAATTATTTGTTTATTCAGATTCAAAATACTAAACCTGTGCCCTGCAGGTGATTAAGTTGCCCTCACTGTGCGACATTTCTATTTTCTTGTGATTTAAAGACAGCTGTGATCATTTCAACACTGTATTGCCCCGACTTTTAAATTGCTCAGTGTTCAAGCAATATTTATGTCTTCTTAAAAAATGTCTATAACTTAAATGCAATGTCATATCAAACCATCAAATGCCTGTATTGTGGGCAGTCAAAATCCACCATCAGATATTAGAAAACAGGAAGCTGCAAAGCTCTGTCCATCCAGGGTAGGCAGCACAAGCACCTACATTTTCTATTTTGAACATGAGCATGAACATGACAATCACCAGGTCTTACTAAATTAGTACGTGAAGTTTGGTATGTTTACAAACACCCACGGTAGATACACAAATCAATTAAAAAAATGAAACCTGCACTTTGAAACCTTATAATATTTCACAAATTTGTGAACACAACATGCATTTCCTCTGTGACACAGTTAATTTGGGCACAAAATTTCACCTTTAGAGAAGCACAAAGAAGATGTGGTCACCAATTTCATCTGAAAAATTGTTTAACGCTAGCACACTGTACTGGGTTTGTGTGGCTGGGTTTGGCAGTTGAGGGACCACAGTGTTGGCTTCTGTGAGAAGCTGCCAGAAGCTTCCCCCATGTCTGACACAGCCAGTGCCACTGGCTCCGTGATGGACCCGCTGCTGGCCAAGGTCGATCCCATCAGCAATGACAGTAGTGGCTTTGGGATAATATATTTTAGAAGAGGAAAATAAAAACCTGCTGTGCAGCAGCAGCCCAAGAAAGGAGTGAGAAGATAAGAGGGAAACAACTCTGCAGACACCAAGGTCA